GTCTAAAGTAGTGCACTACAAAGGGGTCCTGGTCTAAAGTAGTGCACTAGAAAGGGGTCCTGGTCTAAAGTAGTGCACTAGAAAGGGGCCCTGGTCTAAAGTAGTGCACTAGAAAGGGGCCCTGGTCTAAAGTAGTGCACTAGAAAGGGGTCCTGGTCTATAGTAGTGCACTATAAAGGGAATAAGGTGCTATTTTGCATTGCAGCCTATATGAGTGTTTCTGTGTCAGTGGTTGGAAACAGAGGGGAGAAAGAAGCAGAGTGCCTTGTCCTGGTCTGGCTTCTCTGATTAGCCTCTGGGCTACAGTAGTTCAGAGCACGGAACAACCATTTACTGGACACTAGCTAGCTACTTTATCTAGATGTTGTTGCTGTTAGTTACCAAAGAGTTATCAAATTACCTATGGTTCAAAGCATCCGGTTTCATAACATATTTGTGGCAGTGAGACTTTTTGGTTTGACATAAATTGTAGATATAATGTCAAGCTCTGTCGTTCAAATAAAATGTAATTTTGAGAAATGAGAAAAGCTCAAATCAAATCAGTGTCAGTATCAAATCACAGAAACGACATGAAGCATAATATAAGTGAAGTTTACTCTGCACATTTATTTGCATGTACAGAGATACTTTTTTATTTCAATCCAAATAAAATATAGCTGCCTTTCTGAGCCCAGAGGGCTATTTTTTATTTTTAAGCTGAGGTGTCAAAGCAGGTATTTCACAGCTGGGTGGCATTTGTAATACTACACAATGATCTCTCCCAGAACAGAACACCTTCCAGCATTATAGCCCTGCTGTCTGCCACTCATGACCATGATGACAGGTGTGAACAGCAGAAATAGGGTAGTGTTGCGATTAAATGTGTCCCCCTGGTGCCATAAGCTCTCTGTTTAACTTGAATAGAATGGAATACACTATAGATGTGTCAGTCAGCAAGAGAGAGTTTAATGTGTGTGTTTTTGTTTGTTTGTTTGTTTGTTTGTTTGTTTGTTTGTGTGTGTGTGTGTGTGCGTGTGTGTGTGTGTTGTCAAATGATGGAGTATGGGCGTTCAGGCACAGTGATATCACATGATGGAGTCTGGTCATTCAGGCACACAGTGTTGTCACATGATGGAGTCTGGGCATTCAGGCGCAGTGTTGTCACATGATGGAGTCTTGGAATTCAGGCACAGTGTTGTCACATGATGGAGTCTGGGAATTCAGGCACAGTGTTGTCACATGATGGAGACTGGTCATTCAGGCACAGTGTTGTCAAATGATGGAGTCTGGGGCTTGAGGCACAGTGTTGTCATGTGATGGAGTCTGGGCGTTAAAGCACAGTGAATTCACATGATGGAGTCTGGGCATTCAGGCACAGTGTTGTCATGTGATGGAGTCTGGGCATTCAGGCACAGTGAATTCACATGATGGAGTCTGGGCATTCAGGCACAGTGTTGTCATGTGATGGAGTCTGGGCTTAAGGGCACAGTGTTGTCACGTGATGGAGTCTGGGCCTTGAGGCACAGTGTTGTCACATGATGTAGTCTGGGCATTCAGGCAAAGTGTTGTCAGGTGATGGAGTCTTTGCGTTCAGGCACAGTGCTGTCAGATGATGGAGTCTGGGCATTCAGGCACAGTATTGTCACATGATGGAGTCAGGGTATTCAGGCACAGTGTTGTCACGTGATGGAGTCAGGGTATTCAGGCACAGTGTTGTCACGTGATGGAGTCTGGGCGCTCAGGCACAGTGTTGTCACATGATGGAGTCTTGAAATTCATGCACAGTGTTGTCACATGATGGAGTCTGGGCATTCAGGCACAGTGTTGTCGCATGATGGAGTCAGGGTATTCAGGCACAGTGTTGTCACGTGATGGAGTCAGGGTATTCAGGCACAGTGTTGTCACATGATGGAGTCTGGGCATTCAGGCACATTCTTGTCACGTGATGGAGTCTGGGCATTCAGGAACAATGATGTCACATGACGGAGTCTGGGCATTCAGACACGGTGTTGTCACATGATGGAGTCTGGGCATTCAGGCACAGCATTGTCACATGATGGAGTCTGGGCATTCAGGCACAGGGAGGTCACATGAAGAAGTCTGGGCCTAGAGGCACAGTGTTGTCACATGATGGAGTCTGGACGTTCAGGCACAGGGAGGTCACATGAAGAAGTCTGGGTCTAGAGGCACAGTGATGTCACATGATGGAGTCTGGGCATTCAGGCACAGTGGTGTCACATGATGGAGTCTGGGCATTCAGGCACTGTGTTGTTAAGTGATGGAGTCTGGTCATTCAGGCACAGTGTTGTCACATGATGGCATCTGGGCATTCAGGCACAGTGTTGTCACATGATGGAGTCTGGGCATTCAGGCGAAGTGTTGTCACATGATGGAGGTTGTCACTTATACAGGTACTGATGAGGGGATATGAACCAGGTGTGTGTAATAAACAAGACAAAATAAATGGAATGATGAGATGAGGAGCGGCAGTGGCCAGAAGGCTGGTGACGGTGAACGCTGCAGCCTGTCCGAATAAGGACAGGAGGCAACTTCGGAGGAAGTCGTGACAGTACCCCCCCTTGATGCGCAGCTCCAGCAACGCCGGGGCCGCCTCGATGTCCAGAGGGTGCGTAGGAACCTCCCGCACCTCAGACTCCTGGAGCGGACCAGCCTCCAACGGCCTGAGGAAGACACATGGAACGAGGGGTTAATACGGTAATCTGGGGGGCTCAGCTTCCGGCAGGGCAGGCGGAGGGGCAGATTCCGGGTCGAGAGCTAGACCCGATCACCCGGTACACAGACCTGGGCCTCACTGCAGTGGCGGTCAGCGTTGTTCTTCTGGCGACGCACTGCGCGCTGGAGGTGGACGTGAGCAGCGTTCCACGTCTCCTCCGCACGCCGAAACCAGTCATCCACCGCAGGAGCTTCGGTCTGGCTCTGATGCCACGGTGCCAGAACCGGCTGATAACCTAAAACACATTGAAATGGCGAAAGGTTAGTGGAGGAGTGGCTGAGAGAGTCCTGGCAGTAGGACCACAGGAACCTACCCTCATCCTGATTCACCCGTTCCACCTGCCCAATACTCTCGGGGTGAAACCCAGAGGTCAGGCTGACCGAGACCCACCAGACGTTCCATGAACGCCTTCCAGACCCTGGAAGTAAACTGTGGACCCCGGTCAGACACTATCTCCTCTGGCACCCCGTAGTGACGGAAGAGGAGGGTAAATCACAGAATAAAAGGGTTTATTCTGAAAACACAGCGGTACGCAGCAATGCATCAAACACTCCAGTGCGTAAATCAGGCACACTGGGAAACAACAAGGCACACAAGGAAATATCCCGGCGTGCAACATACAAGGAGCTCCACCGAGCTAATCTAACCTCCACAATAAACCAATCACACACAAAGACAAGGGGGCAGAAGGAACACTTATACAGGTACTGATTAGGGGATATGAACCAGGTGTGTGTAATAAACAAGACAAAACAAATGGAATGATGAGATGAAGAGCGGCAGTGGCTAGAAGGCCGGTGACGACGAACGCCGAAGCCTGCCCTAACAAGGACAGGAGGCAACTTCGGAGGAAGTCGTGACACTAGATGTCCTCCGTCTACACCATGGTGCTACCCTACAGAGTGCTGACGGCTACTGTAGACCTTCATTGCAAAACAGTGTGTTTAAATCAATTATTTGGTGACGTTACCATATTTAGTTTAGTTTTATCTAAAAAGGATAACTTTTTTTATGTTTCAACTTTTTATTTTTTTTCACTGAGGGGGATGGTCCTCCCCTTCCTCTTCTGAGGAGTCACCACTGATATATATATACACTACCGTTCAAAAGTTTGGGGTCACTTAGAAATGTCCCATTTTTTTTGCCCATTAAAATAACATCAAATTGATCAGAAATACAGTGTAGACATTGTTAATGTTGCAAATGGCAGGGATGTAGCTCAGTTGGTAGAGCATGGCGTTTGCAACGCCAGGGTTGTGGGTTTGTTTCCCACGGGGGGCCAGTATAAAAAAATAAAATAATGTGTGCACTCACTAACTGTAAGTCGCTCTGGATAAGAGCGTCTGCTAAATGCCTAAAATGTAAATGTAGCTGGAAACAGCAGATTTTTTATGGAATATCTACATAGGCGTACATAGGCCCATTATCACGTTGTGTTTGCTAATCCAAGTTTATCATTTTAAAAGGCTAATTGATGATTAGAAAACCATTTTGCAATTATGTTAGCACAGCTGAAAACTGTTGTGCTGACTAAAGAAGCAATACAACTGGCCTTCTTGAGACTAGTTGAGTATCTGGAGCATCAGCAATTGTGGGTTCGATTACAGGATCAAAATGGCCAGAAACAAATAACTTTTTTCTGAAGCTCGTCAGTCTATTCTTGTTCTGAGAAATGAAGGCTATTCCAATGGAGAAATTGCCAAGAAACTGAAGATCTCGTACAACCCTGTGTACTACACCCTTCACAGAACAGCGCAAACTGTCTCTAACCAGAATAGGAAGAGGAGTGGGAGGCCCCGGTGCACAACTGAGCAAGAGGACAAGTGTCTAGTTTGAGAAACAGATGCATCACAGGTCCTCAACTGGCAGCTTCATTAAATAGTAACTGCAAAAACACCAGTCTCAACGTCAACAGTGAAGAGGCGTCTCCGGGATGCTGACCTAGGCAGAGTTGCAAAGAAAAAGCCATATCTCAGACTGGCCAATAAAAAGAAAATATTAAGATGGGCAAAAGAACACAGACACTGGACTTTTTCTTTGCAACTCTGCCTAGGTCAGCATCCCGGAGTCGCCTCTTCACTGTTGACGTTGAGACTGGTGTTTTTGCAATTACTATTTAATGAAGCTACCAGTTGAGGGCTATCTGTCTTATGTATACTATCTGTCTTAAATATACTATTTGTCTTAAGTATACTGTCTGTCTTAAGTATACTGTCTGTCTTAAGTATACTACTTGTGCTTCTTCCTCATCTTCGACCCCCCCCCCCCCCCCTTCCCTTTATTACAGAGGCGTCTATCCTGAGCTATGATGGCAGTATGTACATGAAGGTGGTGATGCCCGCCGTGATGCACACAGAGGCAGAGGATGTCTCCCTACGCTTCATGTCCCAGCGTGCATTTGGGCTCCTCATGGCCGCTACCTCCCGGGACTCCGCCGACACGCTCCGTCTGGAGCTCGACAGCGGCCGTGTCAAACTCACGGTCAACCTAGGTATCGTATACAAATAATTAACCGTTAACCGTTGACCGTTAACCCTCCCCGTCCCGGTGTCTTCAAGGGGAGTTGTCTCATAGTAGTTTTTGTGAGTTGTTGTTTTCATTAGTTATTTTTTGTTTTGGTCGAAAATATCAAAAAAATCTTACACAAACGACAACAATTTTTCAGCATTTTTTTTTTTACAGTAGTTGCATGGATTGTATTTTGATTTGTACCGCGTCGTATGTATTTTGATTTTCTTGCTTTGCTGCTAAGTCGTCTCTGTAGAATATTCTATAATTAATCTAACAATGAACCACCATATCCATGAACACATTATGCATATCACAGCCATTTTCATTAAGATATTGGGAAATAGTCAGTCATGATCACAAGTAGAAAGGAACATTTCTCAGATATTAAGCTGGACATGTTCAGTTACTTATATGCTATCAAACATTGTTTCCTTATACAGTACATTATTATTATTATTATTATTATTATTATTATTATTATTATTATTATTATTATTAATGCCTATTGCACACACTTCAATTACAGTGGACTTTTTAACAAGGTCCTGTTATTATGACGGCCCTTTTTCTCTCTTTCCCATCCAAAGATTCTGATATATAGCTACATCTCCATAATGCATTAACAGCCTACATTCTTACAGTCTGGGTTTGTTGTTGTCGTAACCGTGTTCTGTTGATTATTTCCTGTATTTTTATTTTGGTTTGGTCCATGTTAGCAGGTCCATGGTTCCTCCCATTAGCACCCCTACAGGAGTGCAGGTGGTATTTCTCATGTCGCCTTGTTCAAAGATGGTACTCACCCCTTCAACGGCCCCCTAGCCTGCGGCTTGCCTGGCATACAGCCCGAGCCCACAGCACACAGCAAGCCTGCAGATGGTGGCGAATAGGATAGGATAGTAGCACCCCTTTATCTATACACACATGGACACAAACATTAAGCTAGCTTTGACTAACTTCCCTTCCACTATATCCACCCTCATACAATACACAAACAAACTATACCTGTCAACCAGTGGAGGCTGCTGAGGGGAGGACGGCACATAATAATGGACGGAATGGAGTGAATGGAATGGTATCAAACCCCATTCCAGCCAACACATACAGTGAGGGAAAAAAAGTATTTGATCCCATGCTGATTTTGTACGTTTGCCCACTGACAAAGAAATGATCAGTCTATAATTTTAATGGTAGGTTTATTTGAACAGTGAGAGACAGACTAACAACAACAAAATCCAGAAAAAACGCATGTCAAAAATGTTATAAATTGATTTTGCATTTTAATGAGGGAAATAAGTATTTGACCCCTCTGCAAAACATGACTTAGCACTTGGTGGCAAAACCCTTGTTGGCAATCACAGAGGTCAGACGTTTCTTGTAGTGGGCCACCAGGCTTGTACACATCTCAGGAGGGATTTTGTCCCACTCCTCTTTGCAGATCTTCTCCAAGTCATTAAGGTTTCGAGGCTGACGTTAGGCAACTCAAACCTTCAGCTCCCTTCACAGATTTTCTATGGGATTAAGGTCTGAAGACTGGCTAAGCCACTCCAGGACCTTAATGTGCTTCTTCTTGAGCTACTCCTTTGTTGCCTTGGCCGTGTGTTTTGGGTCATTGTCATGCTGGAATACCCATCCACGACCCATTTTCAATGCCCTGGCTGTGGGAAGGAGGTTCTCACCATAGATTTGACGGTACTAGGCCCCGTCCATCGTCCCTTTGATGCGGTGAAGTTGTCCTGTCCCCTTAGCAGAAAAACACCCCCAAAGCATAATGTTTCCACCTCCATGTTTGACGGTGGGGATGGTGTTCTTGGGGTCATAGGCACATTCCTCCTCCTCCAAACACGGCGAGTTGAGTTGATGCCAAAGAGCTCCATTTTGGTCTCATCTGACCACAACACTTTCACCCAGTTCTCCTCTGAATCATTCAGATGTTCATTGGCAAACTTCAGACGGGCCTGTATATGTGCTTTCTTGAGCAGGGGGACCTTGCGGGCGCTGCAGGATTTCAGTCCTTCACGGCGTAGTGTGTTACCAATTGTTTTCTTGGTGACTATGGTCCCAGCTGCCTTGAGATCATTGACAAGATCCTCCCGTGTAGTTCTGGGCTGATTCCTCACCGTCCTCATGATCATTGCAACTCCACAAGGTGAGGCCGAGGGAGATTGACAGTTATTTTGTGTTTCTTCCATTTGCGAATAATCACACCAACTGTTGTCACCTTCTCACCAAGCTGCTTGGCGATGGTCTTGCAGCCCATTCCAGCCTTGTGTAGGTCTACAATCTTGTCCCTGACATCCTTGGAGAGCTCTTTGGTCTTGGCGATGGTGGAGAGTTTGGAATCTGATTGATTGATTGCTACTGTGGACAGGTGTCTTTTATACAGGTAACAAGCAGAGTTTAGGAGCACTCCCTTTAAGAGTGTGCTCCTAATCTCAGCTCGTTACCTGTATAAAAGACATCTGGGAGCCAGAAATCTTTCTGATTGAGAGGGGGTCAAATACTTATTTCCCTCATTAAAATGCAAATCAATTTATAACATTTTTTACATGCGTTTTTCTGGATTTTGTTGTTGTTATTCTGTCTCTCACTGTTCAAATAAACCTACCATTAAAATAATAGACTGATCATTTCTTTGTCAGTGAGCAAACGTACAAAAGCAGCAGGGGATCAAATACTTTTTTCCCTCACTGTACAGATCTTAACCCATAATTCCAAGTCCTGTCTAAATTGCTGACAATTTTCCTGTGGTTCATTTGAGTTTAAAAAATGCTTCTAGACTTGATTTACCCTATCAAATTTACTCCCACAAAAATGGCCATTAATTATAATCCACATAATAATTCACTTTTCCAGTTGCTGCAGGACTATTTTCCTGCTGTGGCAAACTGGCTCAAATTAAGATCCTACATCTGTATGCGAATAAATCGGGATATTCCACATAAAACTATATTTCACTCAGTTTTACATTATGTTATGGACACATTATATCTGTCACTTTCCTAATATTGCCCCCCCCCCCAAAAAAAAAATCGGAGTCTGACCAGTATATAGGACTTCAATGCACAATAGCAAATGTGATTTGGCTGGTTTCTCTCATACATACATACATAGCCTACATCTTTGCTATCTTTGTGTTAAGAGCTGAGGTCTGAGGTAGTCTGGAACCCTCTGAGGTCCTGCTAAGCCACTGTACGGTGCTGGTGCTGACTGGATCGAGACTGTTTGCTCCCACTTTTCTGTTGCGGTTGACTGTACATGACAAAGCTGGGTCACATGGATCCCAACCCAGATCACCTGACCAATCACAGTACTACTTATTCCCTATTGGATGAGATATCGGCCTATCTAGTACACCATTTGTAGCCTGATGTGTAGAATATATCTTAGTCCAATATGATATACATTTGATATAAATAACTGATGGCTACAGGTGCAGAAAAACAAAGTATGGTTCCAAAATACTGGGTTGGTAAATCGATGTGGCCAATGAACTGCAAGCGGCCATTTAAAAATTGATTAAAAAAAAAAATAGGCTTAAAATCATAAACTATAAAAACGCATGTTGAAATTTGAAAACAACATCATATTTTGTAAGATATTTCATGCATCTATTCAGACCTGCAAATATACTTTCAGTATTGACAAGAAGTATTTAAATTCAATGAAAGTGAAATATGATATTAAATTAAAGAAAATGTAATGGTCAAACTTAAAACAAGACATAAAACCAAAATGGCAGTTTGATGTTGACCATCATCACAAGTTACCCTAACTACCTGAAATGGCCGCCTATGTCATGTGACCGTCCCCGGAAGGTGGAGTTTCTGTTCTTGGATGTCTGCAGCTTTTACCTTGAAGGATGCGATTTCATCTGTCACTTATTCTCCCCCCATCTAGACTGTGTCAGGATAAACTGTAACACCAGTAAGTCTATACTCCACTTGTTGGAGAATTCTTCTCTAAATTAATATATTTTGACATGATTTGTGTGAAATAGATAGGATAATGTGAAGAAGTGTGATAAGGAAATTGCATGGATAAGGGATCAGCTAAGATCAAAGAATAACTTATGATGAAAGTGTGATGTTTCTATACATAATTAGTTATAAAATAAGTTAACTCAACTCAATTAGCCAACTTTTCTTGATATTTTTGAGGTTGGTTTAAATTTGATATATTTTAAAATGTTACAGAAATTCCCATGTACATTTTTCTTTAAAGGTACATGTTTATTACATTGTAGTGTGGTTTAGAAAGGTTTAGTATAACTGCTTTTACTCATGAAGAGGTCTTTGAGTTTGTTTTGGTCGTGACAACACGACAGCAGTCAAGGGCCTTGTGTATTAATGAGAATGACTTGGTGTACAACGTGAATGTTGTTTGCAAAGAATGTTTTCTATGTGAGATTGTGCATGTGCACATTTCTCTCTCTCTTTCTCTCTCTGTGTGTGTGTGTGTGTGTGTGGTGTGTGTGCGTGTGTGGTGTGTGTGTGTGTGTGTGTGTGTTGGTGTGTGTGTGGTGTGTGTGTGTGTGTGTGTGTGTTGTGCGTGTGTGTGTATGCATGTCTACCTGAGGTTGACAGTGTGTCCCAGCTGCAGGTCTATTTGATGGTGGATCCCAGTTTGAGTGACATATCAGACACACTCATTCACTCCAATTATACTGATCAATATCTCTGATTACACACCACACCTAATCAGGCTGCAGGCAATGGTGTGTAATTAACCACAACACACACACACACACACACACACACAGAAACATGGCACACCGTGGGCTTGACTCACCCTCTTGTGGGTGGTTGAGGAATTTGTTTTTGAAGAAACATTCTCCATATAGGCCCAGGACTGCCGGTTTCTGAGCAAAAGGGAAAAGTTTGGGAAGCCTTTTAGGTTTACAGCGAAAATTGAATTTACGATTTAAAAACTTAGATAAACAAAATTGTTTTTATTTTGGAGCAAGAAAGTTGGAGAAGAAAGGAGAGATAAAAGACAAAAAGAAGGAATGAGGAAAAGGCCCCGTTTTGGGGAAAAACCCTTTTTGATTTTAGAGGGGAAAAAGTAAAAAAAAAACCAAAAAAAGAAAAAGGGTGGGGGAATAAAGACCCCAGGGGAAGAAAAGGTAAAAAAAAGGGAAAAAAATTGGGACGGAAGAAACCCCCATTAAGGGGGAAAAAAAGAGGTTTTGGTTTTGGAAAAACCCGAAAAATAAGGTTTTTAAAAAGGAAAAGGGGGGGGGAGATGGGGGGAGCGGGGGGAAAAAAGAAAAAAAAGGGAGAGAGGGGAGCGGGAAATCCCCCGCGGGGGAAAAAAACCAAAAAAAGGGTGAAAAAAAAAAAGGGGTTACAAGGGGAGGAGGGGGGGGGAAAAAAAGCCCTTTTTTTTTTGAAATAAAGGGTAAAAAAAAAAGAGGGGGGGGTTTGAAAAAATAAAAAAGGGGGGCGGGGGACAAAAGGGGGGGGAAAGGGGAAAAAAAGGAGCGGAAAAAAAGAGGAGGGGAGAGAGAGAAGAGGGGAAAGGGGCGGGCGGGGGACGGGGAGGAGAGGGCGGGGGAAGAGAGAGGGGGGGGGGGGGGGGGGGCGGGGGGAGGAGGGGAGGGAGAGCGGGGGAGGGGAAGGAGAGGGGGAGGGGGGGGAGGGGAGGGGGGGAGGGGTGGAGAGGCGGGCGGCGAGGAAGGAGGCCCAAAGGGGGGGGGAGAGAGGGAGAGGGGGGCCCGGGGGGGAGGAGAGCGGCCCCCGGGGAGGGGGAAAAAGCCGAGGGGGAAGAGGGGAGGGGGAAAGGGGGGAAAGGGGGGGAACCAGGGGGCCCGAGGAAGAGAGGGGCAGAGAGAGGGGGAGGAAGAGGGGGAGGGAGGCGGGGAAGAGGCGGGGGGGGGGGGGGGGAGGGAGAGGAGAGAGAGGAGAGAGGAGGGAGAGAGAGAGGAGAGGGGAGAGAGAGAAGAAGAGAGAGAGGAGGATAGGGAGAAGGGGGAGGAGAGGGGGAAAAGGAGCGGGGAGGGGGGAGAAAGGAAAAGGGAGGAGAGAGGAGGCCGAGAGGGGGACAACGGAGGCGAAATGAAGAGCGGGAAGAGAGAGAAGAGGAAAAGGGGGGAGGGGAGAGAAGAGAAAAGGGAAAAAAAAAAAGAAGGGGAAAAAGGGGAAAAAAGGGGAAGCCCCTTTTTTTCTCTCCCCTTTCTCTCTCTTCTCTCTCTCTCTTCTCTCTCTCCTTTACTCTCTCTCCAGGCCAGATGGCAGGCGACCACACCCGTCTAGAGTTCCATAATATAGAGACAGGCATTCTGACAGAGAAGCGTTTCATCTCGTCCTCCCCCTCCTCTTTCATTGGACACCTGCAGGTAGGGCCAGCATGTACTGGCAGAAGCACATGTTCAATTATAAATCATAATTTGGCATCTGCCAGGCACAGACCTGCGCGGGCAGGAGGGAGTCACGGCCAGATCCGATTCCTGCCTCTGATTGGCTAGTATTCCCTAACCATAGAGGCTAATCAAAGTGGTGCAATACTACTGTTCTTCAGTTGATAAAAGCAGTTATCGCAATATCATTTTCTTCACTAAGTTATCGTGATACCAAACCCCATTATCATCCTCATAACCCAACTCTGACCTCTTACCCCTAGGGCCTGAAGTTCAATGGCATGTTCTACATTGACATGTGTAAGAATGGAGACATCGACTTCTGTGAGCTCAATGCCCGCTTTGGCATGCGCTCCATCATCGCTGACCCAGTGACCTTCAAGTCCAAGGGCAGCTACCTGGGGCTGGCCACCCTGCAGGCCTACACCTCCATGCACCTGTTCTTCCAGTTCAAGACCACATCGCCTGACGGATTCATACTGTTCAACAGTGGAGACGGGAACGACTTCATTGCTGTGGAGCTGGTCAAAGGGTGAGTCACTGAGGATAACATTATTTAACTATATTTAGTCAGGTCATTAAAGGCCCAGTGCAGTCAAAATAATTTACCCTGTTTGTTTTGTATCATATTGTACAGCAGCTGATGAAACTAACACTGTAAAGTTGTGAACAAATGTGATCAGTGTTATTTCCTGTTTGTTGCTGTTTGAAAATACAATCTACACAGGACCTTCAATCAGCAGGGGTGTATTCATTCTGCCGATTGTGTTGCCAAACGTTTCTGAAACGGAAGCAAACAAAAACGGGGAGGGACCTACTGTAGCGGGTGATTTGGACGGAGTCAGGCGCAGGAGGTGTAATTCACAGAATAAATGGTTTATTCGGCAAATACAGCGGTATGCAGCAATGCGTAAAACACTACAGTGCGGTATAACGGCGTACTGGAGAAAAACAAAACACACGGGTGAATGTCCCGGCGATACCATACATTAGAGCTCCACCGAGATATCATCACCTCTACATGAAAACAATCACACACAAAGACATGGGGGGCAGAGGGAACACTTATACAGGTACTGATGAGGGGATATGAACCAGGTGTGTGTAAAACAAGACAAAACAAATGGAATGATGAGATGAGGAGCGGCAGTGGCTAGAAGGCCGGCGACGACGAATGCCGAAGCCTGCCCGAACAAGGAGAAGAGGCAGCTTCGGAGGAAGTCGTGACACCTACCTGAATTTGTCCAATAGAAACTCTAGTTTTGCTCCGTTTGCTTTTTTTGTTCTAAACGGTAAACAGTTTCCGGAATGAATACACCCCAGGTTATGCATGGTTGGATTTTTGGCATGCCTGGTGACATCACCAGGTGGTATAAGTTAATAGACCAATAACAAAGAGTGTTCCAAACCTTTCTGCCAATAGCAGCTATTTTTCAGGTTAGATATACCTCCCATTAAGCACCTCCAATTAGGTCCCTCACTCAGACCACTCGCAGACAGTCCTAGAAAAATTCTTGCTTGAGAAATGATAGTTTTTCTGTATGCTAAAAAAGCTATTTTTGTTGCTTTTTGACAATTTGTATGGACACTATTACAGTAAGATACTTAATTGTTACGAAGAAATTATTTGATATCGAGATAAAAACGGCTGCATTGGTCTTGCAAGAGAGTAAGACAGTGTATAGTGGACTTCACCTGAAAACTAGCTGTCTTCAGTTGGTGTGATAAAACTGAAATAGTCCAAGTAAAAAAGTATTAGTTAAGAAGATATTCGCTATCAAGTTTTGAGACATGCCAAAAGACTAGGCTAGATATTCTGATGCAGGGGTTATCATTCAGAATAACTTGATTCTGGGCCAATTATATAGACTTCTGCATGTCGTTTTACCCACTGCCACAATGTTCCTCCTATCATCTCCACTGACTGTGCCGTACACACACACACACTCCCCCACTTCAATGTAGTGGGCACTACATCTGAATAATATAACCTACACTCACCCACTTCAACTGAGTCCACTTCTACTCTCTAGTAGGCACACTAATAGACACACACGTCTGATGTGTGTCCCAAAGTAAAGTTGAGAAAAAGTGTGCACTTAGGGGGGAAGTGCACTTAAAAGTACTATAGTGTGCGTTCCTGTTTCCTTGTCTCCTAGTTTAGAAGTATTGCATTTATTCCCAGTATCTTCCAGGCAGTGGTGTAAAGTACTTAAGTAAAAATACTTTAAAGCACTACTTAAATTGTTATTTTAGGTATCTGTACTTTACTTTACTATTGATATTTTTGATTACTTTTACTTTTTACTCCATGCATTTCCCCGACACCCAAAAGTACTCGTTACATTTTCAATGCTTAGCAGGACAGGAAAGTGGTCCAATTCACTCACTTATAAAGAGAACATCCCTGGTCATCCCTACTGCCTCTGATCTGGAGGACTCACTAAACACAAATTGTTCGTTTGTAAAGGATGTCTGTTGTTGTAGTGTGCCCCTGGCTATATTTAAATAAATAAAAACAAGAAAATTGTGCTGTCAGATTTTTTTATTATAAGCAACTTGAAATTAGTTATACTTTTGCTTTTACTTTTGATACTTAAGTATATTTAAAACAAAATACTTTTAGACTTTTACTCAAGTAGTATTTTTCTGGGTGACTTTCACTTTTACTTGAGTCATTTTCTATGAAAGTATCTTTACTTTTACTCAAGTATGACAAGTGAGTACTTTTTCCACCACTACTTGCAGGCTACAAAAAGTAAAGTCACGAAGAGAGATAGATACCTGTGTACTGTTGAATGCTCCCCCAGCCGTATTGTACTAAAACCTTGGTCCCCATCCTAGGTTTTGTCCACTATGTGTTTGACCTGGGGAACGGGCCCAGTCTGCTGAAGGGGAACAGTGAGAGTGCCCTGAATGACAACCAGTGGCACAACGTAGTCATCACTAGGGACGCCACCAACACACACACCCTCAAGGTGGATGCCAAGTCTGTCACACAGAACGTCAACGGAGCCAAGAACCTCGACCTCAAAGGTAGGAGGACCAAGCAGCGAACATAGAAATCCAGGACATACAATACACAAACAGCATTACAGTAACTGTAGCCATTCTAATTCTATGGTATTGTAGACCAGGCAGTCACTGAAGCTTCTATGTCCTTCCATCACAGAGACATAAACACTGTCAAAACAGTGGCTACGTTCCAATGTTCCTACATTTACATTTACATTTACATAATTTAGCAGACGCTCTTATCCAGAGCGACTTACAAATTGGTGCATTCAACTTATGATAGCAAGTGGGACAACCACTTTTTTATGGGGGGGGGGGGGGTAGAAGGATTGCTTTATACTATTCCAGGTATTCCTTAAAGAGGTAGCATACCAGTAAAAAATATATCCAATACGTGATTCATTCTAAATGGTATACTAGTCTGGATATTGGAACGTAGCCACTCTTTTGACAGTGTTTTGTGTCTACTCAGGTTGACAGACAATATTTGCTTATTTGACTGAGTAAAGGCATTATAATTGTGACTGGATTATCCTCCCATCACAGAAATGTTGTTGACACACTCTCTGACCTCTACATCCTTCATTTGTTCATCCACTACTCCCTCCCTCCCTCCCTCCCTCCAGGTGATCTGTTTGTGGCAGGACTGGGGCCCAACATGTATCAGAACCTTCCTAAGCTTGTTGTCTCTAGGGAAGGTTTCCAGGGCTGTCTGGCGTCTATAGATCTCAACGGCCGTCTGCCTGACCTCATCAACGATGCCCTGTTCCGCTCCGGACAGATCGAACGCGGCTGTGAAGGTACGACCCCTGATCTATGACCTCTTTGCCTAGGAGCACATATCTTATGCATCCAGTTCCAAATTGACCCCAAGCACCCTAGATGACTAGATCTTTGTCCTCTAATCATGGCTATGGTTTGCTCCTTGCCCACTCACACCTTCAGCCCAGTTAATTGATGGCCACTCTGGGTTACAACCTGAAATTATCTAAACGGTATACTGGGATCAAATTCTAGTGCATCATGTACTCGTCTAGTCAGTAAACTGCATTCCCCCACAAGGTGGTGCCAAACCACTACACTGCATTCCACCACTAGGTGGTGCCAAACCACTACACTGCATTCCACCACTAGGTGGTGCCAAACCACTACACTGCATTCCACCACTAGGTGGTGCCAAACCACTACACTGCATTCCACCACTAGGTGGTGCCAAACCACTAAACTGAATGCCACCAATAGGTGGTGCCAAAGCACTACACTGCATTCTACCACTAGGTGGTGCCAAACCATTACTATACAAACAGAGAGACAGCATACTCTCAGATGACATTTCCCAAACCACACATTCTATCCACGTACCTTTACTGTAACTAACAAATAATTAATTAAACTAACATAACAAAAACCCCTTTACCAATTAAATGACAGAGTATTCATTTAACACTTTTTTTTTGGGTTAAATCGGGGACAGACTTTGGGGGTTTTATGATAAACCATTTTTTAAAAATTCCATCCAAAATGGGGGCCCCCAAAAACACTTTTTGTCCCATATCTCCCCCCTTTTCCCCCATAATTGTTTTCAAGGGGCCCCCCCAAAACAAAGAACCCCAAGGTGTTTGGGGGATTTCCGGGTCCTGGCTCAAATCAACCCCCCCCCCAAACACATGCCCTGTTCTGGGGGCAAATCAACCCCTTTTAATACACCCTTTTCATGCCCTCTTTCTAAAATATTTTATATACCCCAAAACCCCCAACCCCCCAAGGACAATTTTTTCCCCTTTTCCCCTCTTTTTCCCCCCCAAAAACCCCTTTAAAACCCGTTTTGGGCCATCTTTACCCCCCAAAATTATCAAATTATACATCAAATTTTATCAACCCCTACAAAAACTACCAAAAGGGGAAAAAAAACCACTACCCAAATTAAAAAAAGGGGGTTTAAAAAACCCACTCCCCATTAAACCACATTCCAAACCCAATGCTTTCCAAAACCGGGGGTTAAACCTTTCCCCATTACCAATTTAAAAAAACCCCAAAAAAAAATTTAACCAATATTCAAACAAAAATAAACTAAAAAAAAAAAACCAACTATTAAAAAAAGGGGGAAAAACCTTACACCAAACCAAACCTGCACCCCAACAAATCGTACAAAAAAGAAAAAAAAAAAACAAAAAAAAACCCCTTTCCCCCAAAATTTAAAAAAAAAAGGGGTGTTTTAATTTGAACTTTTTCACAAAAAAAATTTCGCAGGTTTTTTTGGGGTTGGTAAAGCCAGTAAAAATTGGAATGAAAAGTGGAATATGTTAATATAACCAGGGTTAGTGGGGGTTTTAGTGAATTTTTGAATCAGAAGAGTGATCAAAATTAAAATATACAGGTTACCCCTACAATACCTGAAATCGAACACTACCCGGGGGCTGCCTCACTAACTCTGACTCTGTTGTGTTTCCGCTTCTTCCTGTTCTGTTCGTTGTGTTTGGCACTAACAAAGTTGATTTCATCAAAGCCGACCTGCAAGGTAGAAGGTTACACTCTGACCCCTTCTCTGAAGCGCGGCTGAACTGACAGAATGCTGTGTGCAATGCATCGTGGGTGTAGCCATGCCGACCATGTCCCACTGCTGGAGAGGAAGGCTCACTCTCTGAAAGTGGCAGGAGAAATGTTGGAGAAACAGATGGAAGAGAAGGAAGAGCGATATAAGAGGAAGCAAGAATGAGAAAAGCTGCAGAGGGAGCAAAAGAGATCGAGAAAGAGAGAGAGAGAGACAGAGAGAGAGAGATAAGATTGAGTGATAGTGAGTCTGAGAGGCTGAGAGGCTGAGAGGCAGAGAGGCTGTAGAGCTGTAGAGAGGGGTTTGTTTAGAGTGAGAGAGGCTTTTAGAGAGGCTGAGAGGTAGAGAGATAGAGAGGCTGAGAGGTAGAGAGGGAGACTGAGAGGCTGAGAAGCTGAGAGGCTGAGAGGTAGAGAGGCTGAGAGGCTGAGAGTCTGAGATGAGAGAGGCTGGGAGGCTGAGAGGCTGAGGTAGAGAGGCTGAGAGATGGAGAGGGAGAGAGGCTGAGAGGTAGAGAGGCTGAGAGGTAGGGGAAAATGAGGGGTTTAGGGGGCCCTGAGGGGCCGGTTTAGGTGAGAGCTGATAGGTGAGAGGGGGTAGAGAGGCTAGGGGTTTTTTGAGAGGAGGGAGAGGGGGGGAGAGAGGGGGGGTAGAGGGGGTTTAGAGAGTCTGGACAGGTAATAGGGGAGGGGGTTAGAGATAAAAGGGGAGGGGTTTAGGGGAGGTGAGAGCCGAGAGGTAAAGAGGTGGGGGTAGAGAAGGTTTCGAGAGGCGGGAGAGTTGAGAGGGTAGAGGGCGGGGAGAGGTAAAAGATTTTAGAGAGGTGAGAGGCTGAGTGGTGATGGGGAAGGGGGTTAGAGGGGTTTGAGGGACTGAAAATTTTTGAGATGTAAAATGAGGAGGAAGCGAGGGCCGGAAAACCCCCCGCGGTTTTCCCGGGGGGGCGGAGAGGTTGAGAGGGGTAAAAGGAGGCCTGGGGGAGGAGGGGCCCGGGAGAGGTGAGGTAGAGAGGGTGGAGGGGCTGGAGAGGTCGGAAGGAAGGCGACAAGGTGGGAGAGTTTTGAGGGGGTTGAGAGGCTCCCCCGGGGGTAGGGGGAGGGTTAGAGGGGCCCCCCCCCCCCCCCATGAGGGGGGTGGGGAAAAAGGTAAGGGGGGCCTGGAGGTAGAGGGGGGGGTGGGCGCCTGGGGGTTTTTGAGAGGGGAAAAGGGGGAAGGGTGGGGAGGAAGCTGAGAGGCTGAAAAAGGGTTAGAAGAGGCGAAGGTAAAGGGGGCTGAGGGGGCTGAGAGGTGAGGGTGAGGGGTAGAGAAGCTGAGAATAGAGATTTGGGAGAGGTGAGAGGTGGAGGGGAAGAGAGGTTGAGGGGGAAAGAGGTAGATGTAGAGAGGGGAAGAGGGCGGAGAGATTTTTAATCCACCCCACAGAGAAGCCCATAAAATGGAGATCCATTTCCAGAGGACAGAGAGGGTTTGATTACTGAGAGGAAAGAGTAGGGAGGGTTTTACGGAGGGGAAAAGGGGGAGGTTACAGTATAAAGGAACCCGAGGAAATTTTGAGATGTTACAGAAAAGTATGCAAATCCGAAATGGCTTAAAAAAAAGGGAGTGCCCAAGGGAAAAAAAATTAGGCCCCGTTAAGAAAAGAGAATAGAGAAAAGGGGCCCCAAATTCAAACCAAAAACCCCCCCACCCGCCCCCAGTTAAACCTTTTTTTCCAAAAGGAAAAATTTCCTTTCCCCTGGTGAAAAGGGAGGAAGGGGGGTTTTAAGAGAGCGAGCCCTTTCCCAAATACAGACAGGGGGGTTGGAAAATTTCCCCACCGTTCTTCATTCCCACAGTAAAGGCACTTTCAGCCAGCAACTACACTTCTTGTTTTTCTGTTCCGACTCCAAGTTATTCTCTTTTCTCACATATCATCTTGCACAAGACTACTGCCCTTAAACAACTGTTTATTTGCAGTTGTTTATGTTTTTCGGTTATTTTTTGTATCTTTTCACGTAGTTTTTCTTTAAATCTTTTCTCTTTGGAGGTTTTTGATAAGGATTTGTATGTTATTAATTTAAATCCAGACGGATTGACTATATACGTACAGTATAATGCACCGTTCTTGTCTGCATTCCCTCTTTGAAAAGTATTCAAAAGTGTGAGATATGTGTGGTGGTGGTTGGTGGAGAATGGAATACACACATTCAGTTTGACTTTGAATGCCCTGTGCAAGTGACGCGTCATACTTCCGTGTTTATGTCCTTGACCTTTTGAATGGGCTTGACGGTTATACAGTATCATCGAATTCATCAAGACGCGGTCAAATTAAATATGTATAAAACAGTGGCGTTCAGTGCCGTTTAAGATGAGGGAGGACAATTATTTTTTCATGAGCATGGCCTTATTTCTATTACAGCAGAATGGATGACTCTCATTCATATTCCATTGTATCTATTGTAACAGCAATAGGTTTAGGCTACTACATGATACATTAATTTTCCCTGTACCCATCATGAGTGCCACAAGCTAGCCTATGAATTAAAGTTTACAACGTAGGTGCACACAGGTCGAGAGACACATTTGAGGTGACAGACAGGGACACATGGACAGACAGTGACATTCAATACCACCTTGCACACTCTTGCCTGCATCTAGCTGATATAGGGTGTAATCATAGGTCAAACAGTTGCAAACGAGAGTTTCTATTGGACAAATTCAGGTTTGTTTATCCCCGTTTGCTTCCGTTTAAGAAACGTTTTCAACAGAATTGGCGGAATGAATACACACCTGATCACGTGTAAACACACTTCAGTTTCATAGCAGCCACGTTGTATTCCTTCTGTGCACTCTCCTTCTCTCACCTTGTCCCTTCGCTGGTGGACTTCAATGCACAACACATCAGCTGTATGTGACCAGGCGGAAAAACCTTTCCCTCTGTTTGAGCAGGGTGTTATAGTAGGCTAAACTAGCTAGCTGCATTTACTAGCTAAGCAAGTGAAACTGAAATTGAAAAAAATGACAATCTCTCTCTCTATTTCTCTCTTGCTTCTCCTTCATTTTGTTCAAAACTGTTCAAATATTGTCTTTCTCTCACAACATTTTATGCACTGCAGTGCTAGCTAGCTGTATGTTATGCTTTCAGTACTATATTCATTTTCTGATCCTTTGATAGGCTGGAGGACGTCCTCCGGCAGTTGTCATAATTACAGTGTAAGTCTATGGAAGGGGGTGAGAACCATGAGCCTCCTAGGTTTTGTATTGAAGTCAATGTACCCAGAGGAGGACGGGAGCTAGCTGTCCTCCGGCTACACCATGGTCCTACCCTACAGAGTTCTAGCGAGGCTACTGTAGACCTTCATTGCAAAACAGTGTGTTTTAATCAATTCTTTGGTGACGTGATAATATTTAGTATAGTTTTGTCTAAACAGGATAACTTTTTTATGTTTTACAATTTCAATTTTTATGAAATTCACTGACGAGGATGGTCCTCCCCTTCCTACTCTGAGGAGCCTCCACTGATATAAAACTATATTAGTGTTTGTGGAGGAATTTTCCAAATGCCTTTCATTACGTATTTGCGCTGAATTCCATTTCTCTATGTTTTTGTCCATTGAATAACAATTAAAAAGCCTACACAATTCAAAAACTACAAGGTCACATGCCACGTCACTTGCATATCGTATAACCCTTCAAACTGTCTCAATGTAGTGCATACGCAGGGATATGCACTACTGTACTTGCACACTCTGAAGTGTTTATTTGTTCTTGTTTACTGTTCTTTATCCAAACAATATGTGTTATAAATCTATAGTGTTGTGAGTCAATGGTGTTGTAAATCTATAGTATTGTTAGTCTATAGTGTTGTAAGTCTATAGTGTTGTTAGTCTATAGTGTTGTTAGTCTATAGTGTTGTAAATCTACAGTGTTGTAAGTCTATAGTGTTGTAAGTCTATAGTGTTGTAAGTCTATAGTGTTGTAAATCTATAGTGTTGTTAGTCTATAGTGTTGTAAATCTATAGTGTTGTTAGTCTATAGTGTTGTTAGTCTATAGTGTTGTTAGTCTATAGTGTTGTTAGTCTATAGTGTTGTAAGTCTATAGTGTTGTTAGTCTATAGTGTTGTAAATCTACAGTGTTGTAAGTCTATAGTGTTGTAAGTCTATAGTGTTGTAAGTCTATAGTGTTGTAAGTCTATAGTGTTGTTAGTCTATAGTGTTGTAAGTCTATAGTGTTGTAAGTCTATAGTGTTGTAAGTCTATGGTGTTGTTAGTCTATAGTGTTGTAAGTCTATAGTGTTGTTAGTCTATAGTGTTGTTAGTCTATAGTGTTGTAAATCTACAGTGTTGTAAGTCTATAGTGTTGTAAGTCTATAGTGTTGTAAGTATATAGTGTTGTTAGTCTATAGTGTTGTAAGTCTATGGTGTTGTAAGTCTATAGTGTTGTAAGTCTATAGTGTTGTAAGTCTATAGTGTTGTTAGTCTATAGTGTTGTAAGTCTATAGTGTTGTAAGTCTATGGTGTTGTAAGTCTATAGTGTTGTTAGTCTATAGTGTTGTAAGTCTATAGTGTTGTTAGTCTATAGTGTTGTAAGTCTATAGTGTTGTTAGTCTATAGTGTTGTTAGTCTATAGTGTTGTTAGTCTATAGTGTTGTAAATCTATAGTGTTGTAAGTCTATAGTGTTGTTAGTCTATAGTGTTGTTAGTCTATAGTGTTTGTAAGTCTAGGGTTTGTTGTAATCTATAGTGTTGTAAGTCTATAGTGTTGTAAGTCTATAGTGTTGTAAGTCTATAGTTTTTGTTAGTCTATAGTGTTGTAAGTCTATAGTGTTGTAAGTCTATAGTGTTGTAAGTCTATAGTGTTGTTAGTCTATAGTGTTGTAAATCTATAGTGTTGTTAGTCTATGGTGTTGTAAGTCTATAGTGTTGTTAGTCTATAGTGTTGTAAGTCTATAGTGTTGTTAGTCTATAGTGTTTGTTAGTCTATAGTGTTGTAAGTCTATAGTGTTGTTAGTCTATAGTGTTGTTAGTCTATAGTGTTGTAAGTCTATAGTGTTGTAAGTCTATAGTGTTGTTAGTCTATACTGTTGTTAGTCTATAGTGTTGTAAGTCTATGGTGTTGTAAGTATATAGTGTTGTAAGTCTATAGTGTTGTAAGTCTATGGTGTTGTAAGTCTATAGTGTTGTAAGTCTATAGTGTTGTAAGTCTATAGTGTTGTAAGTCTATAGTGTTGTTAGTCTATAGTGTTGTTAGTCTATAGTGTTGTAAGTCTATAGTGTTGTAAGTCTATAGTGTTGTAAGTCTATAGTGTTGTTAGTCTATAGTGTTGTAAATCTATAGTGTTGTTAGTCTATGGTGTTGTAAGTCTATAGTGTTGTTAGTCTATAGTGTTGTAAATCCATAGTGTTGTTAGTCTATGGTGTTGTTAGTCTATAGTGTTGTTAGTCTATAGTGTTGTTAGTCTATAGTGTTGTTAGTCTATGGTGTTGTTAGTCTATAGTATGTCACTTTATTGTACTTTTAACTTTCTGGAACAATATGTGACGTTGTTGATCGTTTTTTGGGGACAGTAGGAATGTTTTATTTATTTCTGTGACTCTTGTACAGTATCTGTCGTTGTAAGCCACACGTGAAAAACGTCCTCTATTTGTCCTTTCTGTTTGTGCCCGTTCATAACAGGTCATATGTAGTGCTAAAACACAAAGAGGGAATGCTGTGTTTTCTGTCTCCAAACATCGAGACCTCCTATTGGAGTGATATGGCACGCATGCCCCCACTTCCCCTCCCACACAAAGTGCACTACTGCATGGCACCTCCAATGATGGGACTCAGTACCCCCCCCCTATAGTTACTCCACCCCTTCACACCCTGTCTGTTCCAGCAGGACCCAGCACCACCTGTCAGGAAGACTCCTGTGCCAACATGGGCGTGTGTATTCAACAGTGGGAGAACTTCACCTGCGACTGCACCATGACCTCTTACACAGGGACACAGTGCAACGACCGTGAGTACCGTTTAACTTTAACTATACATGTGTAGACAGCCGCAAAGACTCAGAGAAAAACACAGTTCACAGGGATCAACACACACACACACACACACACACACACATACACAGACAGAGACACACACACTTAACACACACACCTGCAGCTTCACCGTGACCAGCTACACTGATGGACGCAGTGCAACTACCGTGAGTCCTCAGGGGGACAGGGATTATCTGCATGATGCTGGTTGTTATTCTGACTCTGTTTCCAATGCATATAGTATGTTCTACTATCTCTGTGGAAGCACCATTGAAAGCAATGGCTTGTGTGATATCCATAACATGCCTTGGAGATACACAGTACAAAAGGGTTGAAATGGTTCTCAGTGTCACACTTTGTTGTTGTGTGTACACAGAGTCTCAGGGCTTTAGTAACTCAGAGTTGAGTCAGCGTGTGACTGATGATATGTGAAACGTCTGGTTCTGCCCGAGCAGGCATTTCATAAATGTCCCTAAAGAGCTTTCTCAAATGTGTGTGTGTGTTGTGTGTGTGTGTGTATGTGTGCATGTGTGTGTGGCTCTTATCCCTGTGACGATGGGACTCTTCTCTTCAATTTTCAGTGTCTTTAATTAGACAGGGTACAACTAATGATTTGAATAATGTAGGAGCTGTGATCAGTCGCACTGAAATTACACTGACCTTTCATACCTACTAATGCTGTTGCTGGGTCCACTGCAGATAACACTCTCTCATCCTCTACCTATCTCTCTTCCTCTCTCTCTCTCTCTGTTGCTCTCTCTCTTTGTCTTTACATTGCTCTCTCATTCTTTTGCTATCTCTCATTCGCTCTTTATCTCTTGCTCTCTCTCTCCCTCGTTCTCTCTCTTTATCTCCTCTCCTTTCTTTGAAACAGAGTCATGGTTCGAGGCAATGTGTGCTACTCTGACCCAGTGATTAACCCCAGGGTCATGCCTCACCAGGAGGGAGAGCGGTTTCATGTCTAATTCTGTTGACTCTTCAACATAAGGAGTCAAGGGCATTTTCGTACTTACATCTTAAACAGTTCTCTATTACCTATAGTAGTGTACTACTTCTGGACAGAGCAGGGAGAGTAGTTGTAGCCAGGTAATGGGGATTCTAATATCAGTAAACAAATGAACAACTTCATTGTTACTTGTTACCTGTTAAAACAGTGGCCCTTGGGTGCTGAAGGGTTTAGGGTTTTAATATTCTAGCCAGGTACCAGATTAGTGCTTAATCTGTGTTTTATAATCCCCCTTTAGTGTCTCTTGTAAATCGCTCTGGATAAGAGCGTCTGCTAAATAATGTAAATGTAAATGTAGAGAGGTATTCCTCTCCCCCATGCTTTATAAACAGTTAATAGAACCACCACTGATGGCAGTAATGTACTGAGCAACTCCGTACATAGCCCACCTACACATACACCTGCCTGGCAGAGAGAAGAAATTAGATGCAATCCTCTGAGCATGTAATCAACTTCCTCTTATTTCCATTATCTCTCTCTCTCTCTCCCTCTCTCCCTCTCCCTCTCTCCACCCTCTCTCTCTCTCTCCACCCCCTCTCTATCCCTACCACCCCTCTCTCTCCTCTCCACTCCCACCCCCCTCTCTCTACCCCTCTCTCCACCCCTCTCTCTCTCTACTCACCACCCCCTCCTCTCTCACCCCCCCCCTCTCCCGTCTCCTCCACCCCCTCTCTCTCTCTCCACCACCCTCTCTCTACACTCCCACCCCCTCTCCCTACTCTCCCCTCTCTCTCTCCACCCCTCTCTCTCTCTCCACCCCCCTCTCTCCTCTCTCTCCACCCCCCTCTCTCTATCCCTCTCCACCTCCTCTCTCTCTCTCTCCCTCTCCTCACTCCACCACCCCCCTCCCTTCCTCTCTCTCTCTCCACCCCCCCTCTCTCTCTCCACCCCCCTCTCTCTCTCTCCACCCCCCCTCTCTCTACTCCCTCTCTCCACCCCTCTCTCTCTTCTACCCCCCTACTACTCTCTCTCCAACCCCCCCTCCTCTATCTCACCCCCCCTCTCTCTCCATCCCCCCTCTCTATCCCTCTCTCCACCCTCTTTCTCTCTCTCCCACCCTCTCTCTCTCTACTCCCCCCCCTCTCCCTCTCTCTCTCTCTCTCTCTCTCTCTCTGTCTCTCTCCACCCCCTCTCTCTCTCTCCACCCCCCCTCTCTCTCTCCACCCCCCTCTCTCTCTTTCTCTCTCTCTCTGTATCTTTCTCTCTCCCTCTTTAAACACTACAAGGTGGATAGGAAGACCTGGCAAGCGTGGCACTGTGCACGATGATGGCATCAAACACTACTCTTATAACTCTCAATGAATACCAGGTTGTGATTCACACAGGGGGCTGAGTCAGACAGACATGCAGACAGACATGCAGGCTGGCAGGCAGGCAGGCAGGCAGGCTGGCAGGCAGGCAGGCAGGCAGGCTGGCAGGCAGGCAGGCAGGCAGGCAGGCAGGCAAGCAACAGTCAGACAGGCAAGCATACAGACAAACAGACAGACAGACACAGGCAGACAGACAGACTAGGACAGTCTGAACCTTCCATTTATCACAGAACTACATTACAGTACATAATTCAAATCAAATCAAATTGTATTTGTCACATGTGCCGAATACAACAGGTGTAGACCTTCAATCGAACGCTGCTGGCACCCGCCCACCCGACTAGAATCACTACTCTCGAAGGGTCTGACCTAGAGTATGTGGACAACTACAAATACCTAGGTGTCTGATTAGACTGTAAACTCTCCTTCCAGACTCACATTAAGAATCTCCAATCCAAAGTTAAATCTAGAATAGGCTTCCTATTCCGCAACAAAGCCTCCTTCACTCATGCTGCCAAACATGCCCTCGTAAAACTGACTATCCTACCGATCCTTGACTTCGGCGTGTTATTCACAAAATAGCCTCCAACACTCTACTCAGCAAATTGGATGTAGTCTATCACAGTGCCATCCGTTTTGTCTCCAATGCCCCATACACTACCCACCACTGTGACCTGTACGCTCTTGTTGGCTGGTCCTCACTACATGTTCGTCGTCAAACCCACTGGCTCCAGGCCATCTATAAATCACTGCTAGGCAAATCCCCGCCTTATCTTAGCTCATTGGTCACCATAGCAGCACCCACCCGTAGTCTGCGCTCCAGCAGGTATATCTCACTGGTCATCCCCAAAGCCAACACCTCCTTTGGCCGCCATTCCTTCCAGTTCTCTGCTGCCAATGACTGGAACGAATTGCAAAAATCTCTGAAGCTGGAGACTCTTATCTCCCTCACTAACTTTAAGCATCAGTTGTCAGAGCACCTTACCGATTACTGCACCTGTACACCGCCCATCTGAAATTAGCCTACCCAACTACCTCATCACTATATTGTTATTTATTTTGCTCTTTTGCACCCTAGTATCTCTATTTGCACATCATCTCTTGCACATCTAGCATTCCAGTGTTAATACTAATTGTAATTATTTTTGCACTATAGCCTATTTATTGCCTTACCTCCATAACTTGCTACATTTGCACACACTGTATATATATTTTCTGTTGTATTTTTTTTGACTTTATGTTTTTTTTACCTCATATGTAACTCTGTGTTGTTGTTTTTATTGCACTACTTTGCTTTATCTTGGCCAGGTCGCAGTTGTAAATGAGAACTTGTTCTCAACTGGCTTACACTGGTTAAATAAAGGTGAAATAAATAAAAATAAAAAACAGTGAAATGCTTACTTACAAGCCCTTAATCAACAATGCAGTTTTAAGAAAAATAAGTCTTAAGTAAAAAATAGTTAATCCAAAAAAAAACAAATAACAAATAATGAAAGAGCAACAGTAAAATAACAGTAGAGAGGCTATATACAGGGGGTACCGGTACAGAGTCAATGTGTAATAACAGTAGGGAGGCTATATACAGGGGGTACCGGTACAGAGTCAATGTGTAATAACAGTAGAGAGGCTATATACAGGGGCTACCAGTACAGAGTCTATGTGTAATAACAGTAGAGAGGCTATATACAGGGGGTACCGGTACAGAGTCAATGTGTAATAACGTAGGGAGGCTATACAGGGGGTACCAGGAACAGAGTCAATGTGTAATAAACAGTAAGTGGAGGCTATATACAGGGGGACCGGTAAACAGAGTTAATGTGTAATAACAGTAGAGAGGCTATATACAGGGGGTACCAGTACAGAGTCTAGTGGTAATAGAGTAAGGGGGGAGCAGGGGGACCGGAGTAGAGAGGCTGTAATAACAGTAGGGATGGCTAATACAAGGGGGTTACCGGTACAGATTCAATGTGTAATAACATTAGGGAGGCTATATACAGGGGGTAACCAGGTACAGAGCAATGTGTAATAACAGTAGAGAGGCTATATACAAGGGGGTTAGCCGGTACAGAGTCAATGTTGTAATACCAGTAGAGAGGCTATATACAGGGGGTACCGGGTACAGAGTCAATGTGTATAACAGTAGAGAGGCTATATACAGGGGGTACGGTAAGAGTCAATGGTGCAATAACAGTAGAGGAGGCATATACAAGGGGGGTAACCGTACAGAGTCAATGTGTATAACAGTAGAGAGGCTATATACAGGGGTACCGTACATGAGTCATGTGTAATAACAGTAGAGGCTATATACAGGTGGGTACCGGTACAGAGTCAATGTGTAATAACAGTAGGAGGCTATATACAGGGGGGTACCGGTACAGAGTCAATGTGTCATAACAGTAGAGAGGCTATATACAGGGGGTACCGGTACAGAGTCAATGTGTAATAACAGTAGAGAGGCTATATACAGGGGGTACCGGTACAGAGTCAATGTGTAATAACAGTAGAGGGGGCTATACTACAGGGGGTACCGGTACAGAGTCAATGTGTAATAACAGTAGGAGGCTATATACAGGGGTACCGGTACAGAGTCAATGTGTAATAACAGTAGAGAGGCTATATACAGGGGGTACGGTAACAGAGTCAATGTGTAATAACAGTAGAGAGGCTATATACAGGGGGTACCGGTACAGAGTCATGTGTAATAACAGTAGAGAGGCTATATACAGGGGGGTACCGGTACAGAGTCAATGTGTAATAACAGTAGGGAGGCTATATACAGGGGGTACCGGTACAGAGTCAATGTGTAATAACAGTAAGAGCTATATACAGGGGGTACCGGTACAGAGTCAATGTGTAATAACAGTAGAGAGGCTATATACACAGGGGGTTTCCGGTACAGAGTCAATGTGTAATAACAGTAGAGAGGCTATATACAGGGGGTACCGGTACAGAGTCAATGTGTAATAACAGTAGAGAGGCTATATACAGGGGGTACCGGTACAGAGTCAATGTGTAATAACAGTAGAGAGGCTATATACAGGGGGGTACCGGTACAGAGTCAATGTGTAATAACAGTAGGAGGCTATATACAGGGGGTACCGGTACAGAGTCCCAATGTGTAATAACAGTAGAGGCTATATACAGGGGGTACCGGTACAGAGTCAAAGTGAATAACAGTAGAGAGGCTAAAACAGGGGGGTACCGGTACAGAGTCAATGTGTAATAACAGTAGAGAGGCTATATACAGGGGGGTACCGGTACAGAGTCAATGTGTAATAACAGTAGAGGGGGCCCATATACAGGGGGTACTGGTAACAGAGTCAATGTGTAATAACAGTAGAGAGGCTAATATAGACAGAAAGGGGCGGTACTGGTACAGAGTCAATGTGTAATAACAGTAGAGGGCTAAAAACAGGGGGGGGGTACCGGTACAGAGTCAATGTGTAATAACAGTAGGAGGGCTTATACAGGGGGTACAGTAAAGAGTCAAGGGTTAAACAGTGAGAGGATATTACAGGGGGGGGGTCCCGGTAAGAGTCAATGTGGTAATAAACAGTAGGAGGCTATATACAGGGGGGGGGGTACCGGTAAAGAGTAAATGTGTAATAACAGTAGCGAGGCTATATACAGGGGGTACGGTACAGGTCAATGGTAAACTAGCAGGTTTATATACGGGGGTTACCCGACAGAGTCAATGTGCGGGGACACCCGTTAGTCGAGGTAATACAGTGGGGGAAAAAATTATTTAGTCAGACACCGATTGTGCAACTTCTCCCACTTAAAAAGATGAGAGAGGCCTGTAATTGTCATCATAGGTACACGTCAACTATGACAGACAAATTGAGATTTTTTTTCTCCAGAAAATCACATTGTAGGATTTTTAATGAATTTATTAGCAAATTATGGTGGAAAAAAAATATTTGGTCACCTACAAACAAGCAAGATTTCTGGCTCTCACAGACCTGTAACTTCTTCTTTAAGAGGCTCCTCTGTCCTCCACTCGTTACCTGTATTAATGGCACCTGTTTGAACTTGTTATCAGTATAAAAGACACCTGTCCACAACCTCAAACAGTCACACTCCAAACTCCACTATGGCCAAGACCAAAGAGCTGTCAAAGGACACCAGAAACAAACTTGTAGACCTGCATCAGGCTGGGAAGACTGAATCTGCAATAGGTAAGCAGCTTGGTTTGAATAAATCAACTGTGGGAGCAATTATTAGGAAAAGGAAGACATACAAGACCACTGATAATCTCCCTCGATCTGGGGCTCCACGCAAGATCTCACCCCGTGGGGTCAAAATGATCACAAGAACGGTGAGCAAAAATCCCAGGACCACACGGGGGGACCTAGTGAATGACCTGCAGAGAGCTGGGACCAAAGTAACAAAGCCTACCATCAGTAACACACTACGCCGCCAGGGACTCAAATCCTGCAGTGCCAGACGTGTCCCCCTGCTTAAGCCAGTACATGTCCAGGCCCGTCTGAAGTTTGCTAGAGTGCATTTGGATGATCCAGAAGAGGATTGGGAGAATGTCATATGGTCAGATGAAACCAAAATAGAACTTTTTGGTAAAAACTCAACTCGTCGTGTTTGGAGGACAAAGAATGCTGAGTTGCATCCAAAGAACACCTACTGTGAAGCATTGGGGTGGAAACATCATGCTTTGGGGCTGTTTTTCTGCAAAGGGACCAGGACGACTGATCCGTGTAAAGGAAAGAATGAATGGGGCCATGTATCGTGAGATTTTGAGTGAAAACCTCCTTCCATCAGCAAGGGCATTGAAGATGAAACGTGGCTGGGTCTTTCAGCATGACAATGATCCCAAACACACCGCCCGGGCAACGAAGGAGTGGCTTCGTAAGACGCATTTCAAGGTCCTGGAGTGGCCTAGCCAGTCTCCAGATCTCAACCCCATAGAAAATCTTTGGAGGGAGTTGAAAGTCCGTGTTGCCCAGCGACAGCCCCAAACCATCACTGCTCTAGAGGAGATCTGCATGGAGGAATGGGCCAAAATACCAGCAACAGTGTGTGAAAACCTTGTGAAGACTTACAGAAAACGTTTGATCTGTGTCATTGCCAACAAAGGGTATATAACAAAGTATTGAGAAACTTTTGTTATTGACCAAATACTTGATGTACTGGGCAGTACGCACTACCCTCTGTAGTGCCTTGCAGTCGGAGGCCGAGCAGTTGCCATACCAGGCAGTGATGCAACCAGTCAGGATGCTCTCAATGGTGCAGCTGTATAACTTTTTGAGGATCTGAGGAACAATGCCAAATGTTTTCAGTCTCCTTAGGGGGAATAGGTTTTGTCGTGCCGTGTAGTATGATTCAATCTTAGTCCTGTATTGACGCTTTGCCTGTTTGATGGTTAGTCGGAGGGCATAGCAGGATTTCTTATAAGCGTCCGGGTTAGAGTCCCGCTCCTTGAAAGCGGCAGCTCTACCCTTTATCTCAGTGAGGATGTTGCCTGTAATCCATTGCTTCTGGTTGGGGTATGTACGTACAGTCACTGTGGGGACGACGTCTTCAATGCACTTATTGATGAAGCCAGTGACTGATGTGGTGTACTCCTCAATGCCATCGTAAGAATCCCGGAACATATTCCAGTCTTTTCTACCTGCCCTCTACATTACAGCACATAATTCCCCTCTACTTTACAGTACATAACTCTCTCTACATTACAGTACATATCTCCCCTCTACATTACAGTACATAACTCCCCTCTACATTACAGTACATAACTCCCCTCTTCATTGTAGTACATAACTCCCCTCTACATTACAGTACATAACTCCCCTCTACATTACAGTACATAACTCCCCTCTACATTACAGTTGACAGTTTGAGTCTGCACTCCTCAGTCCTAAACTCAGAAACAAGACAGAGTGAGAATTTACAGTCCATTTATGCATTTTAGCCCCCGGGTTTTTTTTTTTTTTTTTTTTCTGCGGTGCCTCTTTATTAAAACGACTCTGAGATTTTAAGCTTTTGCCCCCTTTTTGTAAGTGGTGGTAAGGGGTGAGTGGTTGCGGGGCCCTTTTTTCCCCACCGCCCCCCCAAAACCAGGGAGAGAAAAGGGGAAAAAGGGGGGGGAAAGGGGGAGAGGAGGGAAGGGGGAGGGAGGGGAGGGAAGGGAGAAAAGAGGGGGGGAGAGGGAGGGGGGGGAAGAGGGGGGGGGAGGGAGAGGGGGGGGGAGGGAAGGGGGGGGGGAAGGGGGGGGGGAGGGGGAAGGAGGGGGAGAGGAGAGGAGGGGGGGGGAGAGGGGGGGGAGGAGGGGGGGGGGGAGGGAAAAGGGGAAGGGAGGGCCGGAGGAGGGAGAGGAGAGGGGGGAGGGGGAGAGGAGAAGAGAGAGAGAGAAGGAGGAAGGGAGGGGCGCGAGAAGAGAAGAAGGGGGGGGGGGGGGGGGGAGGGGGGGAGGGCGAGGAAAGGGGGGGGGCAAATTTCCCCTTTTTTTTTCCCTTTTCGGGCCCCAACTTCCCCCCTCCAAAAACCCCCCCCCCCCTTTCCCCTTTTTCTTTTTCCCCTCCTCCCCTCCCTTATATGTATTCACTTTTCTTCTTTATAATTTTGGTTTCCCTCATTTCCTCTTAGGGAAATTGGGCTCAGGGAGGATGATCCATTAAATTTAAGTTAAATTTGTTTTTCCCTTTCTTGGTTTGGGAAAAAAAAAGTTTGGTTTTTTTTTTTTTTTAAAAAAAAAGGGTAATAGTATTTACCCCCGCCCCTGGGGGGTGGAGTCCGAACCAAAATTTTTGGGGTTTTTTTTATTGTGGCCACAAATGGAGGGAATTTTTACCCGTAGTTTAAGCCATTTAAAAAAAAATACAACCCCCAATTGAAGAAGAAGTCAATGCTTTCTTTTGGGGGGGGGGGGGGGGGGGGGTTTTTTTTTAAAAAAAGGGGGGGGAGGGGGGGGTTATAAAAGATAGGTATAGGGTGGCGGGGGGAGGCTGGGGGCTCTTCTCTCCTCCTCAAAGGGTTTTAGTTTGCACTTGGCTCAACGTGAGTCACTCCAAATGGAAACATTACATTTAGCCCAAGTCTTGTATGATAACTTAACCCCAAAAGAACTAGTGAAAAAAAAAGTTTAGCTCAAAAAGGCTGATGACCCCAGGCTTGAGACAAAATGGTGATGGACATGGTATGGCAACTGGCTGAGACACACGGGGTATGGCACACTGGCTGATGACACACTGGCTGAGGCACAAGGGGCTGATGACACACTTTGGTGATGGAAGGTGAGACACATGGCTATGGCACACTTTTCGATGGGGGCACACTGGCCGGGTGATAAACTGGGGATGATACACTGGCTGAGCAAACCCCCTGTTTTATATCACGTGGTGATGAACAGGGGGTGTGTCATTACTGCTGATTTTAAAATGGTTTTTATGACACACGGCTGACGAAAACTTTTGATAAACAGGCCGAAAACACACTGGCCGAAAACACTGGGGCCCATGAAACCCCCGGGTTGATGACACAGGAGAAGGCCCTCACATGCACAGAGGGGGACACAGCCTCAGCCTCTGTGACGTCAACAAGCGAGAGCATAGGAAAGAGATGAGGCAAACGGAGGAGAGAGACAAAGAGCAGTTTAGTGCTTCAGGGGTATGGGAAGGGGGATTGATGTTTTGTTATGGCCCAGGGGGGAGTGGTTTATTACCCCAGATCAAACAGATGTAATATCCCCTGAAAACACACACACACACACACACACACACACACACACACACACACACACTGCTTCTCTCCCCTCCACTCTATAAGAGGAGGAAGATGAGATGTCTCCATTAAGGATCTGTAGCGGGTGATTTGGACGGAGTCAGGCGCAGGAGGTGTAAATCCCAGAATAATGGTTTATTTGGCCAATACAGCAGTTCGCAGCAATGCGTAAAACAACTATAGGGCGACTTAACAGCGCAAGGGGGGGGAAAAAACAAAACAAAAAGGTGAAAATCCCTGCGATAAAGACATAATGTCCACCGGCATGACACCCCCACTGGAAAAACACCCCCAAAAGACAGGGGGGGGGGAAAAGGGAATATTATACGGGACAAGGGGGAATATAAACCCAGGGTTGTTGTGTGAAAAAACAAGACAAAAAAAAATGGAATGATGAAAAGAGGAGCGGCAGGGGTTTTAAGGCTGGTGACGCGAAGCCCAAGCCTGCCCCAAAAGGAGAGGAGGCAGCTTTTGGGGGGAAATCGTGACAGGGGCTATTTTAACCCGGCCATAACGGATAACTAAGATAAACTAAAAAATAATAACGATATAACTAACGGTTTAATAAAAGATAAACTAACTGTATAAAATAATGATTAACAAAAAAAAAAACAACTGTATAATAAAGATAAACCAAAGAATTTTAAAATAATTTAAACTAACGATTAAACTACGGTTTTAACTAAAAAAAAACATCGATATAACAACAATAAATAAATTAAATAAAGATATAATAACTGTTAACAACTGTTAATAACGTAAACAATGTAAATAACGTTAAATAACGGAAACTAACTTTTAAACTAATTTAAAAATGATAAATAACGTTAAAAAAAACTGATAACAAATGTATAACTAAGGTTTAAATAAATGTAAACTAAAGATAACAACGGTATAACTAACGGTTTTAACAAACGTTAACTAACGTATAACTAAATGTATAATAAGTTTAAAAACGATATAAAACGGGTTTTCAACTAATGTACAACTAAGTATAACTAAAATGTAAACTAACAGTTTAAAATAAATGAAACTAAAAAGTTTAAACTAACAGTATAACTAACTGTATAAAAAAACGGTTTAAAATAAATGTAAACTAACGGTTTTTAACTAACTGTATAACAAAAATGTATAAAATAAAATGCAAAATAAGTATAACAAGGTTAACTAAAGGTATAAAAAAAAGTAAATAACTGTTTTAAATAATGTAAATAACTGTATAACTAACTGTATAACTAACTGTATAACTAACGGTATAACTAACTGTATAACTAACGGTACAACTAACTGTATAACTAACTGTATAACTAACGGTATAAACTAACTGTATAACTAACTGTATAATAAACTGTATAACTAACGGTATAACTAACGGTATAACTAACGGTATAACTAACTGTATAACTAACGGTATAACTAACTGTATAACTAACTGTATAACTAACTGTATAACTAACGGTATAACTAACGGTATAACTAACGGTAAAACTAACGATATAACTAACGGTAAAACTAACGCTATAACTAACGATATAACTAACGATATAACTAACGGTAAAATAACGCTATAACTAACGATATAACTAACAGTATAACTAACTGTAAAACTAACGCTATAACTAACGATATAACTAACGGTATAACTAACGGTTTTATAATAAAACTAACGATTATAACTAACGGGTTATAACTAATGGTAACAAAATAACGACTATAAACTAACGGTTTTATACTAAAACGGTATAACTAACTGTTAACTAAACTGTATAACTAACTGTATAAACTACCGGTTACAACTAACTGTATAAATAACTGTTATTAACTAACGGTATAACTAACAGTTTTATAAACTAATGTATAACTAACGGTTCTAACTAACTGTAAAAACCTAACGGTATAACTAAGGTATAAATACTGGATAAACTAACGTATAACTAAATGATAACTAACTGTATAACTAACGGTACCAACTAAACGGTTATAAATAACGGTGATAACTACTGTATAAACTAACGGTATTAACTAACTGTAAACTAACTGTATTAACTAACGGTATAAATAACTGTATAAAACTACTGTATAAATAAATGTATAACTAACGGTATAACTAACTGACCATAAAAACTAACGGTATAACTAACTGGATAACTAACTGTATTTAAAAACGGTTATAACTAAACTTATTATAAACTATACGGTATAACTAACGTTATAATCTAAAGTATATAACAACTGTATAACTAACTGTATAACTAACAGTATAACTAACGGTATAACTAACGGTATAACTAACTGATAACACTTAACTTGTATAACTAATAGTAAATAACTTGTATAACTAACTGTAAAAAAACTGTATAACTAACTGTATATAACTGTATAACTAACTGTATAACACTAACGGTACAACTAAACTGTAAACTAACGTACAAACAATGTATAAAAACTAACTGTTTATAAACTAACGGTATAAATAAGGTCTAACTAACGGTTATATAAACAACTGTATAACTAACGGTATAACTAACGGTATAACTAACTGTATAACTAACTGTATAACTAACTGTATAACTAACTGTATAAATAACAGTATAAAACTAAACTGTATTAACTTAACTGTATAACTAAGGTATAACTAACGGTACAACTCACGGTACAACTAACTGTATAACTAAACTGTATAACTAACTGTATAACTAACTGTATAACTAACTGTATAACTAACTGTATAACTAACTGTATAACTAACAGTATAACTAACGGTACAACTAACTGTATAACTAACGGTACAACTAACTGTATAACTAAACTGTATAACAACAGTATAACTAACGGTTTACAAATAACTGTATAAATAAGGACAACTAAACTTATAACTAACTGTATAACTAACGGTTACAACTAACGGATAACTAACTGTATACGAACAGATAAAACTAACGGTATAACAACGGTATAACTAAGGTACAATAACTGTATAACTGAAGGTGTCTTATCAACTAACTGTATAATAACAGTATAAATAACTGTTATAACTAACGGTTATAAAACTAACGGGTTTATAACTAAACTGTATAAACTAACTGTATTAACAACGGTATAACTAACAGTATAACTAACTGGAAACTAAAGTATAACTACTGTTAGTGAAACCTAACGGTTATATAACTAACGGTATTTGATTAAAACTAACTGTACAACTAACTGTATAACGAATAGTATAACTAACGGTTATACTACTTGTTACACTAAACGGTTTATAACTAAATGTATAACTAAATGTATAATAACTGTATAACTAACTGTATAACTAAACGTATAACTAACTGTATAAACTAACAGGTATAACTAATGTATAATAACTGTATAAACTAACGTAAACTAACGGTACAACTTAACGGCTACAACTAAACTGTAAAACTAACGTAGAACTAAACTGTATAACTAACTGTATAATAACTGTCTAACTAACTTATAACGAACGTATAACAACTGTATACCTACGGGTTACAACTAACTGTATACCTAACGGTATAAATAACTGTCTAAACTAACGGTTTATAAAATACTGTATAACTAACTGTATAACTAACGGTACAACTAACGGTATAACTAACTGTATAACTAACTGTATAACTTCACGGTATAACTAACTGTTATAACAACGGTTAAACTAACTGTATAAACTAACAGTTATAACTAATGTCTATAACTACCGGTATAACTACGTATAATAACTGTATAACTAACGGTATAACTAACTGTATAACTAACTGTATAACTAACGGTATAACGAAAATGTATAAACCGACGTATAAAACAAACGGTATAACTAAACTGGTATAACTAAACTGGATAAACGAAATGTATAAAACTAACTGTATAAACTAACGGTTATACCTAACTGTCTAACAACGGTATAAAAACTAACTGTATAATAACAGTATAACTAACTGTATAACTAACTGTATAACTAACTGTATAACTAACTGTATAACTAACGGTATAACTAACTGTATAACTAACTGTATAACTAACGGTACAACTAACTGTATAACTAACGGTACAACTAACTGTATAACTAACGGTATAACTAACTGTATAACTAACGGTATAACAAAATGTATAACTAACTGTATAACAACGAGTATAACTACACGGTACAACTAACTGTATAACTAAACTGTATAACTACGGTTATAACTAACTGACAACTAACTGTAGAAAACTAACTGTTACTACGGTATAACTAATGTATAACAAACTGTATACTAACGGTTGTTATAACTCAACCTGTATAACTAATTATAACTAACTGTTATACTAACTGATTATAAACTAAATGTATAAACAACGGTACAACTAACTGTATAAACTAACGGTTAATAACAACTGTTTCTAACTATACTGTAAAACTAAACTGTATAACTAACTGTTCAACTAACGGTTATAACTAACTGCATAACTAACGGTATAACTAACTGTATAACTAACTGTATAACTAACTGTATAACTAACTGTATAACTAACTGTATAACTAACGGTACAACTAACTGTATAACTAACTGTATAACTAACGGTAAAACTATGCAGTCCCAGTACTGATCAGGTTAATGAAGCTAGCCAGCTACAGCTATACAGTGTGTATGTGTGTGTGTGTGTGTGTGTGTCATCCTATCCGGCCACTGCGTGTCACTAAGGTAAGTGTGAATGTTGTCCCTATCAATGGCTGTGTCAGCCGGGTGCAGAAGGTGCCCATAATGCCATGATTGGAGATATGGAGGAGAAGTGGAGCCAGAGCGCCTCAGGAAGAGAAAACAAGAGAATGTGTAACGAACTAACGAATGAACGGATGAACGGAAGAATGGATGAACGGATGAACT